ACTCCCAGCCAGTTGTTTTGAATATTTAGATGTATTTTTTTTTGAACTACCATGAATTTTGTGTATTTTGTATTGATATCCAATCATATTGATACCTACCTAAGTATATTTGAGTCGTGAATTTCGACTTGGACTCATATCAGAAAATTAAAACTTTTCAGGAAACTAAAAAACTGGATTTTCCGTTGAATTATTTTCTTTATTTTAGCAATTAACAATAATTAATTGATTAATTCATGAAAGTAGAAAAGAAAGAGCCTTTCTCACTCATAAAATATCAGTTTATACGTGTAGATGGAAAAAATGTAATAAATCTATTTTGATAAAAACTCAAGATGGACCTAACCTAACCTTTTTGAAATTTACGATTCAATTATGAGTGCATATGCATTGGTAATACTGAAAAATATAATATACTAGATTATTATTCCTGTATACAAAATGATAAGATATTTAGCTTATTATCGGGATACAACTTAATTGGTAATCAGTAATTATATCATATCCTATGAATTATTTGTAATTTTTATTTTTGTATTAAATAATTTAATTAAAATTGTAGAGTCAAAATTTAAAAGTTTAAACGTATTATGAATTAGATATACAGATAGCATGTTATATAAATCAATATATATATATATATATATATATATATATACATATATATATATATATATATACATATATATAGATGTATATATTAATAATTTAAAACAAATAGGTTTATTTAGGTTTGATATACTATAAATTATTATACTATCATATAACGAAGTACAAAGTCAAACGTTTTCAATGTTTAAGAGTAGGTACATTTAAAATTATTATTTTATTATTATTATTATTATGTTTATAACGAAAATTGTTAGTAGTAATAGGTGAAGGAGAGGAGACATCTTAAACTTTGAAGGATATGAAATCATCTCCAATTTATAGCAATGAGTCTCACACGACACTTAGAATAATTTCTTTCGATCGGTTTTTACGATAAATATTAAAATATGCGTTCCTACTGTATTACACACCATACTGTCGTTGACTTCTATGATAAATAGGCGTGTGCGATCTGTGGTCGTCTGTCGACACTCGTTGGATTCATAGTGCGACCGATCAAAGAAATTGCGTCGGACGGGGGACTGTCGGTGACTATTCATAAATTCATAACGAACGACTGACAAACACACCATTATTATGGTTTTTCATTCGTCTGCAAAATTATGCAATATCGTTGATGATAAATAATTATACTAATATTGAGGTTAACTTTGTATACAAATCTAAATTCTACAGCAGTGTTTGTAAAGTATTTTATATAATTTATCGATCGTATAAATAAATGTGCATAGCGCATTAACCAATAATAATATTACCTATTAAAATTAAATAACTATCGATACAGTTATCATATCAATCAAAACAACATTATTCATGGTTATGAATATTATTTCAGTAATAATGTCCCATGTAGTTTTCTGAACGCCTAAACCATTTTTGGTACACCCATGTACGGTGAGAGTGTATTCAAATTTTTTCAGCACTTAAAATACGATACTTTGCGGATGAGTATTAGATAATTATTGTCATTATAAAAAAAAAAAAAAAAAAAAAAAGAAACGAGGAAAAAAGTCATTCGACACGAAATCTGTTGTCTGGTGGTATTTACCTTGGACGTGTTCAATGCCTGCTGCAGTCGTTCAATGAGTCACAGCGATATAAAAAAATAAAGTTACGTCGGTGGCGCGTCATCGTATACTCGTATGTGATATAATATACAGTCGTATTATATTATTATTATTACCATTCGTTAACGTCATGTGCCTAAGATATTTAATACACTGTAATCCAAGTAAGATTTTTAGAAGATCTATATTCGTGTCGCATAGACATCGTGCAAATCGACGAGCGAGTATAAATTATGTTCATCGACATTTATTATGACGTAAATATAATGACACTTGAGTGTTGTGGTTGTTTAACGAGGATGAAATCTGAAGTACTTAAATATGTGGTGGAAAAAAAACCAATTATTATAAAAATAATAATAAGAATAAATATTAATTAAAAAAAAATCCCTAACCTTGGCAATAATTCGTTCCCCGTGTTCTTGTCGGATGCGTTATGTTGAATCGTGGTAGGTAAATCGAGGAAATAATATTTTACGGGTTCAAGTCTCGGAAGAGTAGGGAGTCCAGGATATAGTAATATATTGTAAGCCTCATTCTTATAATAAAAATAATTAACAAATTAAACCGGTAATAATAAGAAACAAAGTATAATTCGAAAATAAATAATTAAAATGTACCATAGGTATGTAATGGTACACTAGTTCTTTAAGTATGATTAAAATATACAATAATACATTATTTATATAAATTATATTAAATGTTCGAGTAAGATATTTACTGGCTTTGGTAATTTAAATTAGTAGATTTTATCAATTTTAACGATCGATATATTAGTCGTCGTCGTCGATTTCAAAGTGAAAAAGATACATTAGTTACCTATATCTTATAACACAAATTTTGTATTTTAGCATCTAGGTGTAGAGCAGGAAAAACGAATTAATAACATTTTGATTAAAATATCAAAGGTATTTTTTTAGAGATATATTCACATGAATGATAATATAATGATAATATAATAGTATAAATGTATAGGTATAAATATTGGATATTGCAAGTACAATATAATAAAATTAACATTTATTATTCCAGTCTACTATTTAATGAAAAATATTTTAAAATTTAATTACAGCCAGGTCACTTAAAAATTAGTTTGAAAATTAATCTCCACTTGTCTTTAAACAGCTGTACTCCGGTGACCTCCTATTCTATTTACGAAACTATCCAACACCTCATTTAACATTCGGATATACTTTGCTTTGAAAGCTGTACCAACTTATTTCACTATTTCAATATTGTTTTAATATTTTATTCAAAATAATTAAACTACATAGAATAATTGTATGGAATATAGTTTTATATAGGTATAGTGAATGGCAAATGATAAAATACCAACAATTTCATTAAAAATCACTTAAATGTTTCATTTATGCAACTAATTCCTATAATTATTTTCGACTATTCATAGTAGCTTGCTGTCATAGACGTGCGATTATATAATGGTTGAACAGGTTCATAAAATAACAAATTATACAGTTTTTCGGAATGTCCAATACATCTAATTTATTTTAAATTGACTTGATGCTGTCATAATACAATGTCGTATACTAACAATAATTAAGTTACAATTAGAAGATGTGAAATTGTTTAGTGGAGTTTATAAATGCAATGTTTGGTTAGCATATTTGATCATCTTTATTATTAAACCTATATAAATTGAAAAATATTGACATAATAATTAAGTTATTAAATAATTATCAATTTCTTTTTTGTAAATTAATAGTATATAAACTATGAACGATTTTTATTATCTATGCATGCAATTAGGCCTGGTCCGTTTAAAATGTAAATAAATAAATAAAAGTAAACTTAAATTTCATTTATATGTATAATTGTTCAAAAATACTTCGATGATTATTTTTATATGTGTATAAATGGCACTTGCAAGAGCATTAAATATTATGTCGAGTGATTCTATCTATCAAACCGATCCCTTGAGCATATTAATGCATTACTGCAATTGCGATGTACCTAATTAAAAGGTCAATAATAGTCATGCGTAAAAAAAATAATACAAGACTGAAAAAAAAGATAATGAGCTTTATATTAAGGAAAATTCAATCTTTTGTCATTTTAAATTATCAATGTCTTTCATACGGAAAATAATGCAATTCAAGTTGTGATATTAAGCCATATTAAAGTATCATTAATCCAAATAAAAAAACGTGGTATAGTTTTTAAAATGATTTCCTTCCCGATCATTCTACTAGTCTTCTCATGGGATAAGCATGGAATTTATCTTAATCCATTATTTATGTCATGTAATAATGAAAAATCATGCAAAAACTTTTTATTATTTATTTAAACAGTCTCCAATTCGTGGATTTTGGTAATGAGACCTTGTAAAAAGTAGTAGTATACTAATTGTAAAAAGTTAATGTGGGACACTTTTATATTCGGAGTGAATACACAATGCGCGTTCCATGTATTCAATTCGGTAAAGCACCTTGATCCGATGGTCTAAGCATTTCCCGGCTGAATCGCAACTACAGGGGAGGGCTTGTTTTTCCAAAATATCAAATACCTATTTGTATTTGAATATTTTAAAACTTGTACTAACTAAATGATGACGAATAACAGGTGTTCGTCATTGATAAATACATAAGCGTATTACTTATACCGTGATTACTACTATCTTTTTGGTAGTTTTCGTGAACGATATGATGACTCTCGTCTGATATTTATATTTTATAATCATTATAGGTAGTTTTTATACCATTTTATGTCGTGACAAAGCTACCGCAGCTGAACACCGTTAATTTATTATTATTAATAATGTTTTAATAATTATTATTAAAACTATTTTAAAACGCTGGAAATACAATTTTAAATTTGGTGGTGGAGGACGGGTTACGGATGAACTCTAAAAGGTTTTCTTACCTAAACCACCCCAAAAAAAGTTTTTGTCCTTCTCGTTTAAAAATCCGACACATCTTTGTCGCGACGAAAACACCTCAACACCTCGGCGTACACCCGTACGAACGCAAGAAAGGACTTGTTCGCGCGCGCACCCACGCACGGCGCCGACTTCCATTCTCGCGGGACATTTCGGGGACGACGGGACGGCATCGGTGGGCAATAACGGCGGGGCGCCGCGGATAATAACAGGGTACAGCTGTGTCGGCGGCGGCTGCGAACGCGTGGAGTCGAGGAAACGACGGAAGAACCCATCTCCCCGCCGCGCTCCGCTCGGTCGTCGTACGGCGCGGATGGCCGGGCGGGGGGTATCGTCGTCGACGGCGACGTTCGTGGTGGGAGCGGGCGCGAGAGGAGGTGCGGTGGCGGTGGCGACGGCGAGCAACGGCATCCGTCGGCGGCACACCGCGCGGCAGTTGAATTGCGTTTATTTTAAGAAGTCCACGTCGTTTCCTATAAAAGGTTATTTCGCTGGTCCATTGACGGTACGCGTCGTCGTGTACGTGCGTGTGTGCGCGAGAGAGTGCGTAAACCCGTTCGCGTTTCGCTTTCGCACCTTTGTGTGTCTCGTCCCCTCTTCTCAACGCTACCCCGGGACAGTCCGAGTGCCGTCGGCGAGAATTGTTTTTCGCGTTTTTTTTTTTTTTTTTTTCTGCTTTGCCCCGAACCTCCTCCAAAATGCCCGTGTTTCACACGAAGACCATCGAGAGCATATTGGAACCCGTCGCACAGCAGGTAAACGGACGGTTTTTTCCGCAGTTAGAAATACGTACGTACTGCAGGTATTCGTACGTACTCGGCTGCTTGTTTTTCGTTCATGACTGCGTATCGTTTGAAGTAATCAACTCGGCTGTCGAGAAGTTACACGGGTGCGGCAGGCGTCGTCTTTTGGCGTTCGCCGGACGTATGTGCACACTGCGACAGATTGATTAGTGACATTGTGCATAGGATCGCTCAGAGTCCTAGGACGACGACCATCTGCTCCTTCCCAATGCCAACAACACTCTCCTTGTCGTCGTCCTATTATGTACCTACACTGAACAAGATTGACCATTATTGTTGTTTCACTTTCCGCCTTTGCACGAGCTTGACCCAATTCATTGCATTATTATATTTAATCGTAGCTATTATTAGGTACATTCGATTATAATTATTTTCCCTTTGGTTTCCCCCAAGGATACGTGAACGTGTTTATGGACTTGTGCCAATGTGCTATCATTAATGTTTCTATCATGTTCGTCGCGTTTTTCTGAAAGGCTTTTAAAATATGATTGATTTACGAGTACAACAGCTATACACTTAGCATCTACTCCGATTGTGTGTAGTTTCCTGGTGTTTATCAACTGTCCGAGTTCTAAACAATTCATGATTCTTGGTGGCCTTGATGAGACTATTTTACTATTTTGGTACTGTTTTCTTTTTTCGCTCAACCTATGATGCTGATAAATTTTAGATCCAACAATTGTGGATAATACAAATTATTAAGTTTTAATGGCGATTGAAATTACATTATTTTTGTTTATTTTTTTGAATATAAATTGTTGAATTTTAATAATACAGGTATTATATCTACCTTTATATTATCTGTCAACGTATATAAAGGAATGAGCTTAATCTTAAAACCGTACTCGTAGAATTTTGATATGAATAGGTTCAAATTAAAAATTAGTTAAAATTAAAAAACAGTTGATATAATTTGTTTTTATTTATGTATAGTTTTTGATAAGAATACTATCTGAGATATTACCCATGAGTCATGTGACATTGATGCAATTGGAAAGTGTTCATTTGCATTCTAAATTTTAAGTTTATAGAAATTTGGAGATGAGTAACATATGAAATATTGAACGTAACATACTATAGTCAGTTAGATAGCTATTTTTCAATAGATAATCTCTATTGTATAGCATTTTGAAAAAAAATAAAACATTTCTTATTTTTTATCAAGTATATATCTATTATTATCTAAATAATGAATTCGTTAGAAACATTAATATTAACATTACTGGTTTTTATTTTTTTTTGAGGATTTCCTGTACACATTTTTTCCATAATTATTTTTATAAATTGAGCTATAACTTTCTAAAAAATTTAACATTTGGCTTGAATAAAAATAAAATGTATTTTTCTATCTCTTTTGATTGACATCTCATCAAATTTTGAAACTTAAACCAAGATACATTTGATAATAGTACTAGTGTGAAAAATACTGAAAATATTGTTTTACTTATTGAAACTGGATAATTTAATTTATTTAATATAAACCAGATACATCAATCATCTGATAAACTTGTCATAATACTAATGAAAATGAAAATATACAATTAATTGATCAATATATGTATTGAAGACATAATAATTTATTGTGGTATTAGTATCTAGTAAACAACATTCAGATCCATCATTTTCTATCAAAATCAAGGATGGCATGTTATTTTGGATGATTAAGCAAATCTTATATATTGTATCTTTCACCATTAGTTGAAAACTACTGTTTTTCTCAAACTACACTTTTAAAATACTTTATAAAACTTAGGGATATTAATTTTTTAAAGAATTTTATTACCGGAAATTGGGGATAGTTATGACAGTGTTCAAAATTAATTTTCTTATTTAATAAAATTAACACATTGTAGGTAGATATACCTAATAAATAAATATTTGATACTAATATTATTTAATGATTAAATTGTTTAGTATTATGTAACATTAAATTATTGAGCCTATAATTATAATATTAATTACAAATAAAAGTTGAAAGTATTTATTTTTGAATAACTTAAATAGTCTAAACTGATTCATTATTTTTAATTAATTTGTCATATTTGTTTACTATTTCTTACGATTATATTAATTTATTGTAATATGTTGCTTGGTTTAAAGTAAAAATGAATGTACATTATACCTATTAATATGTAGAAAGAGTAATAAAGTAGAGTTGTCAAATTAAATGTAACTATGATAATATATTTTTCAAAATATTCTATTTTAAAATGTATTAGGTTTAGCTATTTCTAACTAAAGTTTCTCGTATACATTTCTATCTCATAAAGAAGGGGACCAAAGAAAGAATTAGAAAAATAAGTACTATATTGAGATAGTTTACCCCTTAACTACTCACTCTATTTTTAAAACCACTATAGTCTTACTATTAAAATGAAAAATACTAATTTTAGCATAGAGCATGTTACATATGGATTCCATATGATTCTTTACTACTCAATATTTAAATGAATAGGTGGTCATTTTACAGTATATTAATAGTTTATTAACTTTAAAGGACTGATAGCATTTCATGAATATTTTAATAGTATAATACATTTAAGGATTTATTTTTAAGGTATATTTTAAAATCTTATAGGTATTTTTTAAATTATTGTTCTTATGTAAAATTATTAATTTTAGGTATCCAGATTAGTAATTTTACATGAAGATGCTGAAGATGGAAGTGCAATGCCGGACTTGGAAAAGCCGGTTCAAGCTGTCAGTCGTGCAGTCATGAATCTTATTAAAGTGGGCAAAGAAACTATCAACAGTAGTGATGATCCCATACTTAAGCAGGATCTTCCTTCAGCTCTTTATCGAGTTGAAGGTGCATCACGTTTACTTGAAGAAGCTTCAGCTATGTTAAAACAAGATCCATATAGTGGACCAGCTCGAAGAAAACTGATAGAAGGATCTAGAGGAATCTTGCAAGGGACTTCATCTCTATTGTTATGTTTTGATGAATCTGAAGTCAGAAAAATTATAAGAGAATGTAAAAAAGTTTTGGATTATTTAGCTGTTGCCGAAGTTATTGAAAGTATGGAAGACTTGGTGCAGTTCCTTAAAGATTTAAGTCCTTGTTTGAGTAAAGTATGTTTATTTATTGAATTTATATAATGCAAAAATGATTTGTTCCTATTTAAATTAAAAAAAAATATCAATTGTAGGTTTCTCGAGAAGTTGGAGCACGTGAAAAAGAACTCACTCATCAGGTTCATAGAGATATACTTATTCGATGTTTGGACCAAGTGAAGACTTTAGCACCAATACTTATTTGTAGTATGAAGATATATATTCATATTCTTTCAGAAGGTATAATTATTGTAAACAAATTTTTATTTATGATGTTAATTATAGAAAATAATTTTAGGAGGTAAAGGTGCTGCTGAAGCAGCTGAAAATAGAGATTATCTCACTAGCCGAATGACTGGAGAGTTATTAGAGATAATAAGAGTCTTACAGTTAACAACTTATGACGAAGATGAATGGGAAGCTGATAACATTACAGTTATGCGAAAAGCTCTTAATATAATTGAAGGAAAAGTTAATTCTGCTCACGATTGGTTACAAGTATGTATTTAATTACTTATGTGGTGTTTTTTAATTTACCATTAACAATTTTAATTAAAATATTTTATAGGAACCATTATCAATGCCTGGTGGTTTGGGTGAAAAGTCTATTCGTCATTTGCTTGAACAAGCTCATTTAATATCTGATCGCTGTTCACCTAACGTGAGAGATCCAATACAAAAACTGTGTTCAGAAATTAATACTATGACTGATGCACTTTGTGAACTACGACATGACGGAAAAGGTGCTACTGCTCAGGCAGAAAGCTTATCACGTAGTATTGATGAAAGAATTGGAGAGTTAGTAAAACTGGTAACGAGAGCAGTTAATGACACAGAAAAAAGTGGTTATGCTGCTAAAGGACAACAAGTAGCTCATACACTTGGTGGCCAATTGGATCAAGCTAGACAATGGTTATTACATCCAGAAAGAAATGATAATGGTTTGGGTCAAAAAGCTATTTCATTGATAATTGATGAAGCACATAGAGTAAATAAAAAAAAAGCTATTTGAAATTGTACTTATATTATGTTAAATATGAAATAATGTTAGGTGGCTGATGGTCTTCCTGGCGTCCAAAGAGCAGAAATATTAAATCTTTGTGATGAAGTGGATATCTTGTCTCGACAATTAAGTGATTTTTGTAGACGGGGTGAAGGAAACTCTCCTCAAGCACAACAAATAGCTAGGTAATAATTTTATTATATTTTATATATCCATTAAAATGATAACTAATTATTTGAATTTTAGAAAATTGTCTCATAAGTTAGAAGAGTTGAAAAAAATGATTCAAGATGCAGTGGTTAGTCGTGTTGTTGAAGATTTTGTTGACATAAATACACCATTAAAACAATTTACAGATGCAGTACATGTGCCAAAAGGTTAGTATATGAAATTACAAATTGAAACATTTTTGGAAAAATTTTAAAACAAACTATGTTTTTATATAAAGGAACTCCTGGTAGAGAGGCAAACTTTGCTGATAGAGCAACTAGATTGTCTGATTGGTCAAAGCGTGCTGGTCGAACTGGACGTCTTGTAGCAGCTACGGGAAGTGGTGGTAAAAAATTATCTGAAGCACTTAATCAAGCAGCCATACAACTTGAATCTCTTGGACCTCAATTAATTAACGGTGGACAGATTAGATCGCAATACTCTGATAACAAAGTGGCTGGAGAGCATTTCGATAATTTGTGTTCTCAATATGCTAATACAGCAACACACATTAGAAATCTTTGTGATGAGGCCACAGATACAGCTACTTTCATTCGACTTTCTGGTTAGTAGAATTTATATAATTTTCATATCAGTATTCCAAATATTAATTTTTAATGACTGAATTTATAGAGGATCAAATGCGTAAACATGCAAAACTTTGTGAGGATGCCATTTCCAGGCGTGATCCTAATAAAATGGTGGAGCATACAACAGCTATTGCTCGTTTAGGAAATAGAGTATATCAAGTTGCTAAACAAGAGGCAGACAATTCTGAAGATCCTGTTTTTCACGCAACCCTCAACAGAGCAGCAGACATATTACAGGCATCAGTTGCAAGAATGGTTCAAGATGCTAAGCCTGTAGCATTAAATACCAATGATGATCAAGCTGTTAAACGTTGGCGAGAATCTAACAACGTACTATTGGATGCAGTCCATGGCGTACGCGGTGCTTTTACAGTTGTACCTGACCTGTATGAACTTTCTATTGAACCTGAAATTGCTCCACCTCGTCCACCATTACCTGGCGAGCAAGTACCTCCGCCGAGACCACCATTACCAGCTGAAACTGATGACGAAGATGAAATGTTCAAACATGCACCATTACCCAATCAACCTATTATGGCTGCTGCTCATGGATTGCATCAAGAAGTTCGACAATGGTCTAGTAAAGACAACAAGATTATTGCTGCTGCTAAGAAAATGGCACTGTTGATGGGTCGATTATCACAGCTTGTTCGTGGACAGACAGGCACCAAACGTGATCTTATTGCTTGTGCTAAAGCAATTGCTGAAGCTTCTGAGGAAGTAACACGTTTAGCCAAAGAATTGGCTAGAGAGTGTACCGATAAGAGAATGAGAACTGTAAGTTTTAAAAATATTGTAACTTACTATTTTTTTTTAACTTATTAATTAATTTTATTTCAGAACTTGTTGCAAGTTTGTGAACGTATACCAACCATTGGTACTCAGTTGAAAATTTTATCTACTGTCAAAGCAACTATGTTGGGAGCTCATGGCTCAGAAGAAGATCAGGAAGCTACAGATATGTTGGTTGGTAATGCACAAAACTTGATGCAGTCTGTTAAAGAAACAGTACGAGCTGCTGAAGCTGCTTCAATTAAAATAAGGACCGATACTGGTATACGGTTATGTTGGGTGAGACGTCAACCATGGTATCATTATTAATCTTCCATGCACCTCAATACCATGGCCATAAACAGGTGTTCAATATTATTTAAGTATTTATAAGTTATAACAAAGTAATTGATATTATTCACTTTGTGCACGATTTTAATAATTTAGTCTCAGAGATCATTTACATGAAAAATAAGTCTTTTAATATGCTGCTTTGGAGTAAATAAAATTAATAATACAAATTTGAAATAATATTTTCTATAATTTGGCCACTAAATCATTCCAACAGGTCGACATGTGCCTTATAATTATATTAGCAGTGCTTAGAGTGATATTTATTGAACATTTTTATTTTATTTAAGAGTATTGAATCAAATTTACGTAAATAATTGAGCTTTAACTTTTGTAATGAAGTTACCTACATATAGACGCTTTAATCATCGAATGAGATAATTTTACAATGAATTAAAAATATATATGTACCGTATTATGCTATTTATTTAGTTTATTTAAATGCCTCTAGAGAATTTTATATAGAGTAACATAAAGAGGTATTTATTTATTAATTTTGTTATTTTACAATGATGTATATAAATAAAAATAAAAAATTGTTGGACAATTTTCTTTCAGATAGTATTTTAAATACATTTATTGTTATTTGTTTTGTTATGAATTAAATTTTTTGTCAGAACAAAATTATTTTTCTTATAAACGGTTTTTTATTTGACATATATTAATGTATTTAGTGCTTCCATTTTGTCATACTTAGGGTAAAATGTTAATAATGAAATTAATCATTTTTGTGTTAAGTTTATATAAAATAAAAAGTACCGAGCCACTAAAATGTTAAGAATATATTATTAATAATGCCGCATCATGTTTTAATGTAATCTAAATATTATATTATTTTTATATTTAAAATAATCTTTTCAATAATATGTTATATATTTGTTATGTTTAAAAAATTAAGCAATCATATTTGTATAAAAATACAAAATAGTAATAACAATATTAATTCAGATCTATTTTTACAATAATAAAAAATTTTAATAAAATATAACTGCTTTTACTGGTGTGGCTTGGAATAAAATTAGTGCCATTTCATAGCATTCACAATCATTTTACAAGCATTATTTTTTCCAGGTTTTTATTGTTAAATGTTATTTTACTGTTATGTTGCTTAAAATGTTTATTTTTATTAACTGCTATTTAATATTATTATATAGTGGTTTTTGACAATAAATATTTTATTATTGTTGTGTATAATTTTAATCATATAAGATTTATTCTTTAATAAGTTTCACTGACAAATACAATTTTTCAAATTTCTGATTTATCTAGAAAACTTTATCAAAATATACTTCTTAGTTTATTATTATTAACTATAATTAATTGTTTTAATTTGTATTCAACGTCCTTCATGAGTGTTATTACTTAAATTTTTATTAATTATTTTACATACATATTGTCTTTCATTAAAAACGACTAACATCTTATAATTATTTTTTGTCTGGTATGTTGCATATTATACTTAAAACAAGAATCAATTTTAACTTACTGTTAATAAATGTATTGTGTTCAGTTCCTAACTTTCTAGTGTTTCAATGCGTTTTAAACTAAAAATTTACTAGCATTTATTTTTAAACGACAGATTGTATTAATATAGTTGGTGCTAATAAATTATTTCAATTATTAAATATTAATTTTATCATTTGGATGTTTTTTTTTTTATTTTTGTTAGCAAAAGTATCCTATTTCCCTTTAAACAAATTTGATTTATTATAACTTTTTTATTTTAATGTAATCAAATTGTTATGTATATTTTGAAAATATTAAATATACGAGAAGTATATCTTTAAATTATTTGACCATGCATTAAAAAAGGTAAATTATCATTTTTTTTGATAGTGTAATTATTATATGTTTTACATTAATATTGAAAATCTAAAAAGTTAAGATTTATTTGAATTTCAATATAAATATAACAAAAAATAGTTGAGAAAATGAAAATTACAAAAAATCACGAGTTATAATTAAGCTTAAACTGGATGCATGTCTTAGTAAAATCTAAAAATATATTAATTGTTCTTATAATTTTATTTTCACGATGCATTTTTAATTACTAATTATTAATTTGACCGACAAGTTAAAGATATTTAAGGTTATTACGAATACGTAAACAGTGGAACCTCTATAAGTCGGATTTTCAGTAACTTGAAGGATGCCTTCGCCTCTCTGCATTTCAATATATGATACATTTTCTCGATAAATTAGTCATTTGAGTTGAATTTTGGCTTATAACTTGAATTGTTCGACATACATAGCCGATAATTCTTCATATAATATAGTAATTGTATGTATAAATAGCGTATTTTCATAAATAATGATAATAAATAACATAAGAGTATAAATAAATAAATATTTTATATATAGAAATAAATAAATAAAAGCTTAGTCTAGAGTATTATTATATTTTAAAAGTACGACCGGTTTCGAATTAAAAATTCATCGTCAGGTATATAAAAAGTCAATAAAATCGCAATTGAATATGAAAAAATAAAGAAAGAAATATATTGGAAAAAAAAACGACTAATTTTTCTAAATGTATTCCTTCCTTTGTTTTTTCATATTCAGTGGCGATTTTATTTTTTTATATTCAATCGCGATTTTATAGACTTTACTTATACCTGACGATGAATTTTCAATTCGAAACCGGTCGTACTTTACAAATATAATAATACTCCAGACTAAGCTTTTATTTCTTTATTTATATATTAATTTACAAGTGTTAAATATTTCATAATTATTAATTTTTATTAAATTTTTTATTGATATATTATTAATAATAAATAATGAGATATGCCTAACGAGTTTAGTGGAAAATATTCGGATATTGATAACAATGTGGAATTGTTTTTAACCTTAATTACTACTCTTGTCCTAGTATTAGATTATTTACAGGCAGTACGTAAATATATATGTGAACAATCAGAAATTTCCGCGGTCACATAATTGAAAACTTTACAGATACGTTCTTATCACACAATAAAAACAATCAAAACTACGTAATTTCTTCTAAACACAGTCCTACTTTATTCATTAATTATATATTTATTTTACTATGAAATACTTTTTTGAAAACTATAATACATACATATATTTATATGATTCATAGTGTAATAAGTAAATAATTAAAAGTATAAAATATAATCTTTGTTGTATAACTCGGAAGTTTTTTGATGCCCCTGACTGATTTGAGTTCTCGAGGTTCCACTGTATTTCAATAAATTATCGAATTTCAAGAGTAGTCTTAGGAGGTGAAGTCTAGAGTTAACATTTTTACGCTTAAGTTTTCAAATTAAGCGTTTATCAATAGTTGGACCAAGATATTTATCTAAATTTTCCGTTGGGATTGTTTGATTATTTAACGTGACAGGTGGTGAATCGAGATTTTTGGGTGAAAACATTACTTGAATGGATTTAGATTCGTTTATTTTGTTTTTCCTACTCTTTTTTTTCCGCAAGCCTATCATATTTATGTAAATGCTTTTGAATCATTTTCAGAAAAAAATATTTTTTATTCACAAAATATATTTACTGTATATTTTAATATATTACGTTCAATTAATACCAAAATTGAAAAATCGAAAAATTATTTGTCAGAAACGTATTCGTTTGAATCTGCTACAATTCAATCATTTTCATTTTAATAAACTTTGAACTTTGTATAAGTCATAGTCAATCAACTCTGAATTAAATTTGATCGTTGGTTTAAGTTTTCGTGACACTATTACTTCAAAATGTACACATCTAGAATTATTTATAACATAAATATATCTTGTAAATTACTACTTTTATACTGGTTTGGACGATTTTTATAGTTAATCTTATTTTGCGTTATGCATGAGACAGTTGATGACAGAGCATATATCGTTTGACCGAAATTTATAATTTATTGAATAACAGGGAATCAACAAACCTATTCAACAATATCGTACTACTAATGGGATTGAATAATTTCATAGTAATTATAACTCGCAATTTTGTCATTCACATCTAAATATTTATCAAGTAAATTATACTTTAAAAGAAATTTTGAATCAACAAAAAAAAAAAAATCAATACGTAATAATACTATGGAAAAACAAGAGTAAATATTGAAGTTATGGGAAGAATATCAAATTGAAAAATTAATAATACCTAATCCATTAAATTAAATACATGGGTGTGAGATATCTTACTAATAAAACAATTTAGTGAGTTTATCTGTATAATATAGTAAATGCTATAAAAATATAATATATTTTTAATCATACCAACAATAATGTTAAGATGTATTTAATTATTATTTATTTATTAATTTATTATTAAACAATAGTTAACTGAAAGTTCTAAGGCTCTAAAAATTGGATAGAAAACGTATTAGTCCATATGAATTTCATAAATAAACACATAAAAGCTCGCCTGAACGAATATGTACTAGACATATTGGAGGACTGTATAAATTGCACCCTAATGATATGTATAAATTCACTGAAATTATATGAATCCCAAATTCATTCGCCTAAATGAAAACCGCCCATGAATTGAAAGGTCTCTCTGTTTTGTTCCCTGGAGAATGTGATTTAATTATTTACCGGTCCTTGTACATGTATTATGACACATCAATGACGTATTAAATATTTTTATAAATTTCAAATTAATTCATTTCAATTTCTTTGTATGAATAAAATTACCACTACCATTTGAGATTTCTCGATTAATCTTATACCATGTTTGTTAGTTATTTTTAAATTAATTATTCAATGAGCTTTCCGTATATTAATGAATATTAAAAAAGTAAAAATGTGTACTGCATTACACTGGACTGATTATTAAAGGTAACATATTATGGTAAATATAAGTGACGTCAAATAAATTATTTAATTTCCGTAAAAATCAAACATAAATTACAATTTACAAAAAGTTATAACTGTAATAAATAATTAAATAAATCGCTTGTTTTTCAGAAATATTTAAATTTAATGATATCAATATTTTTGATCACGTCAACCAAACGCAAAAGTAAATAAAACCGATAATTTCGACATATTTTTATTAGTTGACGATTATTTTAAAATGTATACATTTTTTATCTTTGTATTTTCAGCAGACCATAACATCTATTTTTCACTGTATTGATGTACAAATAAGAATTTACACAACAGCCGTTTTGATGTTAGAAAACGATAAATGTTTATTGATGATAA